GTGGATTATACCAGACGAATAGGCTTCTCTCTGGATTAGCGATCACAACTCTGGGTTGGAATTCTCACTTCACCTCTACTGTCCTGCATACTCTCCACTCGGTGAACTGAGATCGCCTCGAGATGATACAGGTACACATTTTAGTGATGAAAAGACAAATTTCCGACAATGAGTTTAACTCTCGTACAGCTTGTTTGGAATTTAGGAGGTTGGCATATACTCATATGTACACAAACGCACATACAGAGAGATTTCTTCGATTGGATGGCCTTGTATGTTGGCGAGACAGGGTGCCACCACCTCAGTCTTCACACGAGGTGGTTTGGTTTCATTTCACTCTCACTATCAGCTCCCGGATCTTCTTCATGTGTGTTCATAATTCATTGATGGAATGATGTCGAATGTGATTTCTCCGCGTAGTCATAGTTTCAGTCATGCACAAGGTTACCGATATCGGCTAGCAGCGATGATGCCGAAGATTTGGTAGTGATAAGGGATCAGTTTGCATTTGGATCTGCTGTCTGTCTACCACCATTTCGACCCAGATTTCAACGTGTACTGGACTTAATTTGCACATCACCTATCAGTTAGATAGATATAAAGAAATTATATTGGTGCAAGGGATCCAGATGTTGCACTTTGGTTTGGAAGATAAAAATCATTATTTTTTCGATGGACAGTAACTATACCGGACACGAAATAACTTCAAAGTAGCCATTCCAATAAAGGAGTGTAAAAGCACATGTTGCTAGATTATGTATTTGAATGTTTATACTGCTTGATGATATGACCCAATGTTATTCATACCTCCTATTTCAATTATGTCCGTGATACTAACTAGTAACTCTGATGTAAACAATACCATTATCTAACCTTTAACTTCAACCGCAGACATTAGTTGTAGATAAGGGAGGCCAGGTGCACTCTCTTTACGCGGAACTTACACTACACTCTTAACAAGTGACATGATTATCTATCGTGGTCTTCTGGTGGCGCCATACTTAATCTTTACTCGTCTGCTTTCTCCACATCTCACCTTCATCATGCAGAAATAACCGGATTTCCACAAGCTTCAAGCCTTCAGAGCGTGTCATAATCTGGGTGTTTGCAAACTCCAATATCCATCAAAACAGAGGTAACTATCCAAAATTACTCCACACTAACTTCATTTCCATAAGCTTAATATCAATAAGGACAATGAGGCGATGCAAACTTTCAGTAGATTTATAGGTAACTCTAGACAATGGCTTTCCAAACGAACGACCGTCATTATGACGATGGGTAATTCTTATCAAGTAATCAGAAGAGTTCAAAGTAACACCACCTAGATTGAAGTCACTTCCACCGACGTCAAACAGTGCAAAAAAAACACGCTGAATAACATTCTCGAACATGTCACGAAAATATCGCCCAATTCCTTATTGAGGTTTTCAGTGATAGGCCTGCAAATCCCGATGTCAACCTCTAGATAGTTCTAAACGTCAGCACCTACTAAACTCACTTTCCTTGGGTAACCCTGATCAGTGCTCTACCTAACGTGTTAGTACCTATTAACACAACCTCGAAGTAAGAAACCTTGTGACTGGATAGTGTACTAAGACAAGGATTATATTTTAAATGTCACATATTGAGTGTCAAATTTAATAGATAGGAAAATTGTACAACTCACCTTATAACTGGGTCAGATAGCAAGCCCAACAGTGTGCCCCATGATAACACAATGAGGGGCGAGCAGTCACACCGGGAGCTCAGTGAAGGCGCGACGCCAAGAATGCATTAAAACGAAATTTCAAACATTCAAGGTGCACTACTAGCCAAACCAATTTCTGAGTGTGCGTAATTTCATCCATAGGAAAATGTGTTGAAATTATGTCTATTGAAGTGACCGGTGGAGTTTGATGCAAACTAACAAATTTCATTGTCTTTCAGTTTTCATGAGATAGGCTACTTTTCGCCTATGTTAGTTCCGCAGTTACTTGCTCTAGAAGCCAATCCCTCTGGTTTGCAGTTCTATTTGTGAGACGACTTGCAAGTATTTGTTCAAGGCAGATGTATGTTGTTAAATAAACTGAGTACAGATATTTGTGCAGAACACGATGACGCCATCATATGTAGCACAATGAGAAATAGTCACATCAGGGAGAGAATCAGGACGGGAGCTCGGCAAAGGCGTGTATTCAGTGGAATGGCGGAAATCGGAGGGCGCAGGTCAACGGCCCACAAACAAAACAGTCTAATTGTCATCACTGATATTGAGTCCTGATAGACGTTGTACCTCCTGTCCCACGGAATAGACTCCTCAGTGTTTTCCTGAAGGAGAGAGGAAAGAAAGCAGTGTACAGTACTCTATCTATAATGGATTCTTTTTCGTTACATCGGCTCCTCTCCTCTTAAGGCACAGTCATCGGTACCTGGTTGTGGTGTTGGATATACGTTGCCTCCTTCAGCTGGCACCTCGTAGTGATAGGTGGGAGGTGGTGGTTGGGATGTGTTTGGCTGTTTTTTAGGCTGGCTGGATGCTGCGGTTTCAGTTGGTTTTAATGGGCGGTGATAGCGTTGACTTGAGGTCGTTACTGGTCGCGAAGAACATATGTGGTTGGTGGTCAATGTTGGACGATCTCATATGGCCCTCGCCATGCGGCGGAAAACTCGGGACACTATCCTGCTGGGACTGACGATCTACGAGGCCAGACATAAACTTTCATTGAATACATTGGTCCGCGCGTGAACTGTGGTTAGGGACATCAGTTAGCCTGAGCACTACGGGTGCTTGTGGCATTTAAGGAGGCTTCTTGATTTTGCTACACGTAACGCGGCGGCAGAACTCAATGACGCCATGATGAAGTAGTGCCGTGTTCAGATTCCGTTGACGAGCATGAGCCAGTTGATTGTGTTCAAGTTGGATCACCTCTCGAACTCTTACACGTGAGACTAGAAGACGATGCGGTGTAGATGGCTCCACTATAAATAAGACGTCGTTTATCAGTCGTAGCACACCCTATTTAGTACACATACTCCGTGTTGTGTCGGATAAATCCCATAATTCCTTGTTCGAAGGTTTATCATTCCCATGAGGTTGGTGGGAGTAAATAGGCTGTATGTCAGCATCAGTTGCTTGTAGTGAGGCCCAGTCGACATCCATCCCCGTATCAAGCATAGCACTTACTGTTGAAACACAATCTGTCAATCGAGAGAGAGAGATGAAGGGAGAGCATTGGCATCAGCACATGGAGGTCCTGGAAGATACTCGCAGGTGATATCGAATCCTCGTAAACGTCCTTGCCAACGAGTCACCTGGCCTTCTGGTTCATAGAATATCTGGAGCCATTGCAGTGCGCGGTGGTCAGCGCGTACTCGAAAGGAGCTCCCAGGCAGATAATGTCGAAAGTGTTTGGAGAAATGCACAGGGTAAGCATTTCCCTTCGTGTAGCCGGATACCGTGTTTCACGTTTGTCTAGCTTTCGACTGGCATGTGCAATAACATGCTCTCGACCTTTCGTTACTGCTCAGGAAAGGACAGTCCATTTAGCATTGGTGCTCGCATCGGAGTCCGAAATAAAAGAACCAGATAATGGCGACGTGTCTGTAAACACAGGGATAACAGGTAACGTCAGGTTCCTCTTTAACTCGTCGAACTCATGTTGGCATTCGTTAGTCCATACAAATTTACGGCCCTCTTCTGTCAGTCGATGCAGAGGCGAGGCAAGGGTGCAGAAAGCAGAGACGAAACGTAGATAGTATAATGCGAACCCTAGGAAGCTATGAACTTCTTCACAAGACTGGGGCATGGGCCATTCTCTGGGTCTGTTTGGATGCAATTTGGTGAGATACGGCGGCCCGAAAATGTGACTTCCCTCCGGAGAAAGGAGCTTCCAGAAGGCTTCAACTTCAATTTATTTGTTCTTAAGCTCGTATGGACAGTCTGTATGTTATCAGTATGATCCTCTGGGAACTTCTCATGTACAATGATATCGTCAAGATACATTGGAAACTTATGCGGAACCAACATGTCACGGGCTACCTGCATCAAGCATTGAAATGTGGCGGGAGCGTTACATAGTACGGAGGGCGTTGTGCGGAATTCGTATAGGCCACTCAGGAGTATGAATCTTGTCAATCATAGTTTGATTCCACAGAGTATTTTGGTACAAGTATGGAATTTTCAGCATGTGATAACGGTAGCCAAAATTTAGCAGGCCGACCATTGAAATCAGGTGTCCGTCGGCCGAACCGAACCCCGGACCATGTGCATGGTCGGCGAGCGTCCTAACCGTCGTGACACCGACGCAGTCTTACGACAATCGTTCGAGTGCACTTCTACTTGCCAGCACCGGGATTCCAGATCTAAAGTAGAGAGCCGTCGAGAGCCAGTAAGTGCACCGAGAGTTGCATCAATGCTCGGAATGGGGAAGGAGTCACGGCTGGTCACGGCATTCAGTTTGCAGTAGTCAATATACATTCGGATAGAGCTGTCTTTCTTTCTGACCAAGGTGATGGCTGACGCCAATGGCGAAGAAGAGGGTGCGAATATACTTTTGTCCAACATATCTTGTACATATCTTGTGCTTCAGTTTTGCTAGGGGGATTCGTGCTACAAAAACCAGCAGCGTAGGCTCCTGTGTAGGCTTCATCTGCTATCGAATTGGCGATTCGCATGTAGTGGTGACCTGCTGGTGCTACATTGAGGGAATCCTGCATGCGTTTGCTCCACACTGAGTAGTCCGAATTGAGTTCAGACACTGGAGGTTAACGAACGACAGGCATGCCGGGAATAGTAGGTCCACATTCTTCTGTGAAAAGCTTGGGGCTTCATCAATATCAAAGGTTCCTCCACGTGGCTCCACTTTTTCGTTTTCGGACGACACAATATTTCCACAAGCCAAAATCTTTGTTAATCTACCCACGAACCTAACTTGACAATTCATTATTACACGTATCAGTCACCTGTCTAATTAATATAATGAAAATATATTCTCACATATATATATATTCACATCTTCTGGCGGTACGTTCGAAATTGGTGACATTTTTGCACGTGTTTGCTCTGATATTTATTTACTGCTTATAGTCATATAATCCCTGTAATTATGGTCCAAATTTCTAAAAAACGTGTTCGTAGAAACACAGTTGTTTTAGATAGTGCCTCAACCTCGGTTATAACTGCATTACCACCCTGTAATACAGCATTAACTACTAGCTCACAAAATGGCTTGAGTGCAATTCTCACTCCTGTGATACAGATGAAAGATGTTCTGTTAGAGAACTCTGAGATCTGTAAATTAGACCTCCTTGTGAAAGATATCCAAAGGCAAGTAAATGAACTTCAGAAAAAATTAGGTCAGTTTGATAGAATGTCACTGCCATTGTCAAATATCACGGAGAGCAGTTCTGATATTGGCCAGGTTAAGTCTTTGCTGGATGTAACTCAAAGCAAGCTTTCGGATTTAGACCCAATAGCCTGTCTGTTAAGAAAGCATCCTAAAATGTCTCCAGACACCCTAAATAAGGCTGAAAATATGATTGACTGCTTGGCTGCGGAGGTGATGAAGCGTATAACCTCTTCTCACCAGGCTATAGTTTACAATGTCCCAGATTCTCTTCCTCTGAAGACTGTTAAACACAAAATCCTGATTTGTTGCGGCATGGCCAGTGTTCCATGTGAATGCAAAAGACTTCGTAAAAAGTCTAACCAGGCTAACTGTCCCATTATTTTTAAGTTCAGTAATTCCCTTGATTCTAGTAAGTTTATTAAATGCCAGGATCACCTAAGACTGAACAGTAGTTATAAGTCTATAACCATAGCTCAAGATAAAACACCGTGTCAGCGCAGAATGATGCGGAGTAATAACCTGGTCACCTCCTCTAGCTTAGAATTACCCAAAAACGATCGTGCACAGCAACAGTCACCTAATGCTGACATTAGCATTCAGCAGACCACACAACAACCACGCATGGCAATGGAACTAGGGACTGATTTAGATACCAGTACCCCTGTAAATAACGTCTCACCAAAAGATGTTAAAATAGGTAGAACTGTTGCAAGCCGTTCCAAGAAATTCCTACCCAAACGTGGTGACCTCACCACAATGAACAAATTTCGCCGGGTTGAGACTAATGATGGGGAAGAATACTTTGTATTCAATAAGCTTGCTGAGAGTAAGACTGTCAAAAAACCCTTACCTCTTACGAAAAGTTCCTCTCGAAACACAAGTATATCTGGTGGTTTTCAGTATGCTCCACCTTATAGAAAGTCAGGCCCCAAAACCCCCAAAGTCTTACAACCAAAGCACCTTCCCTCTCAATTTCCTTTAAGTTATAAAACCAACACGAAGGTGTGTACCGGTATGATGGATAGCACGTGGATGGGTAGACCATTTGATGCTATGCTTTTTAACCGTCAACCCAGGCCCAACATCTACTATCCTTATATCCAGGAACAAATGGTAAATTTTCCATGTGTCCCGAATCACTGGTACGACCCATGGCACCTAGGACCACCTCACTGCACTCTAACCCCGATGCACAGACACCCAGTCCAACCCCCGTATCATTCATAAACTCTTGCGTTGTTGACGCACAAACAGAGTTAGGTTATGGTGATATCTTAAGCCAGTTTGTAGTATCCCGTGACTTATTCACGATATTGCTAATTAATGCGCGTTCCTTAATCAATAAGATATCTGAACTAAGGGCATTATTATTTATCGCCAAGCCTACTGTAGCTTTGATTACTGAATCATGGTGCTCATATTCTGTACTTGATGTGCATATAGGCATAGATGATTACACTGTACACCTTGCAAATAGAGACAGCAAGCGTGGTGGAGGATGTCTCATATATATACATAACTCATTCGTAGCCAGTAAGGTGGAAGATGAAATACTGAACGAGGTACCTGATTCACTCTGGGTCGTCTTACAAGGAGATAAGTACAAGCTTCTCATAGGCTGTGTTTATCGAGCACCAAGCTCAACCAAAGAAACTGATGCGTTATTAGCTAAATCATTCGCACACGCCTCATCGTTTAGTACTAATTACAAAATAATTGCAGGGGACTTCAATCTTCCAGAAGTCAATTGGTTAAGTAGTTCCGGCCCCCAACGCTTCGACGAATTACTTGCCACTATCGACTGTTATGGATGGCAGCAACACGTCCAGACACCTACTCGTGGTGACAACATGTTGGACCTTGTGTTTTGTCATGACACAATCCCAGTCTCCACCTATGTTGGTAACAGATTTTCCAGTAGTGACCATAGAATGGTGCTCTGCTCTCTGCCTTTCTCACCACTAAATACAGGAAACAAACAGGATTCAGGGAGCTTGATTTGTCGTAGTTACAAACATGCAGACTGGGGATTAGTCCAAGAACTCATTCGACTCTGTCACTGGGATGAATATTTTACCACTGATTCCCTGGAGACTGTAGTGTCCCTATTTTACAGGAATGTTATCCTTTGTCTAGATACTGTTGCTCCTAAGAAGGTAGTGAAATTAAGTAGACACCAAGCTGAATACATTCCGAGGGCATGCCGCAATAAGTTGAGGAAGTTGAAGAAACAGTACTATTCAACTAAGGATATATCACTACTGCACTCAATCCATGAGTCTCTTGAATCTGTCAAGCGCCAACGCTCTCAAAAGGACCTCGACGAAGAATTAAGGGCACTTGAAAGCACTCCCAAAGTTTATAACTTAATAACACTTCTTAAAAAACGAATGCAGTCGACTAGGGACATCCCCTATTTACTTCATGACAAAGTTATCTACAATGTGCCTGCCACCATCTGTGAAATATTCAGTGAGTGGTTTGCAAACTTCAGTTTAGAAACGCGCATTCCTGGTGACACCGGCCTCCTTACTAGCTCTTCCCTCGGAAGCATAGTGTTCACCAACCGATTAATAGAACAAGCAGTTAAAAGCCTGAAACCTTCCACTAGCACGGGACCAGATGGCCTTGCTTCCATAATTTTCAAAAACAGTGGGTGTGATATACCCCTACTACTTCTTAAATTCTTCTCGATATCTATGGAGACTGGCACTTACCCTAATGAGTGGAAAACTAGCTTCATAATTCCACACTATAAATCCGGTGATAAGGCAAACGTCCGCAATTACAGACCTATAAATATAACCCCAGTTGTCTCGCGAGTCATGGAGAAAGTTGTCAAAGATCAGTTGTCAGACTATCTACTTAAGGAAGATCTTGTTACAAGGTCTCAACACGGATTTCTCAAAAATAGGTCTTGCGTTACTTGCCACTTCGACTTTTTCAACTGCGTCACTAGTAGTCGCGAAGCACGTAAGCTAGTAGTTGTTCTCTACTTCGACATATCTAGGGCATTTGACATGGTATCTCACAGTATTCTCTTTGAGAAGCTGTATTCATGTGGGATTCGCAATCCATTACTGAGCTGGTTAAAATCCTTTCTAAGCAATAGGGTACAAATAACCAAGGTTGGATCTGTGTTGTCTCATCCCAGACAGATCACAAGTGGGGTTGTGCAAGGTAGTGTCCTAGGTCCACTTTTATTTACAGTATACATTAACAGCATTTGCAACTGCTTCACCTTAGGTAAATCATTCCTATATGCTGACGACCTCAAAGTCGTTTACTCCTGCCACGCTCATGAACTAAGCGATATGGTGAATAAAATACATCTTGAACTAAGTAGTCTCGCAACATGGTGTACTGAATCCTGTCTTAAGTTCAACATTGATAAATGCGGCTGGATTTGTATCGGAAACAGTAACCTTGACCTGAATCTTGAAATAAATGGGCGTAAACTAGCCAAGCTCAACTCAGTCGTAGATCTCGGTATCAGATACTCTAGTAACTTAACGTTCTCTGAACAAACTGATTATGCCAGACGTAAAACACGTAGGCTCCTAGGATGCATAACTCGCAATTTCTTTTGTTGTGAAACTAGGGTTTTATTATATAATGTATGTGTCCGACCTATTTTAGAATACTGCCCGTTTATTCTTAGCGGACTCAGACAAAATGACAAGCTTAAGTTAGAAGGAGTGCAACGGCAATTCACCTTAAGAATTCTTGGTTTAGAAAGTGGTCTCCAATACTATGAACGTTGCGACAGACTAAGTTTAGAACCACTCTGGAAAAGATGTCTTAAGCTAAACCTGATTTTTTACTACAAGCTAACTAATCTGCTCGTGCACTCCTCCGAGCCAATAATTAAACCTACCGCTCTCATCAGTTACAATCTTAGAAATCACCACAACCTAGCTGCTATAGAGCACTGTCAGACTTACATGCGGTATAATTTCTTCTTAAATAAGTTTTCAGTCATTTGGAATAGACTACCAGCTGATGTGCGCGATGCAAACACACTCGCAGTGTTCATCTCCTCAGTCACCAGACTGCTCAAAGATGACAGTGCACTTCTGAGTCTGAATCCTACATCCACTTTTTCGTCCAACATAGATATTTTAAGTTCATTTAACGTGTAGTTACAACAAACTACAATTATAAATTTTTATATTATTGGAAGTACATGATAGACATTTTTACACAGGACAATAATATTAGTTCACACAATATAAAAGTTAGCATCACGGGAATAGTTAGTTAGTGCACCAAAATAACTATAATTACTAAACAGAATATATATGTATATATACACATTAATCACCCCCTAAGTACTCCGCTTGCTTTCTTTTGCGTTGTTGTTGTTTGTCTTCTTTTGTCTCTCACCATTTCAGCTTCCATTTAACTTTTTGAATGAGAATGAAGAATGTAGATATTTGCCCATTTACAATGACAAATGATCTGCAAACATTATTGGTCCCATAACTTACAATTCCCTCGTGAATTGCGCATTGCCTTCACCAACGACGCAACCTGGATTACAGTTGTGAAATATATCTTTATACCAATAAAAAAGTATTGATTTATAATACTTCACGAATGTAACTTATAACATAACTGATCTTGTCTGCAAAATAGCTTGCATTTCTTGAAAACACCCGTTTATAAGAAAATATAAACTACCATTATTATTAGTCTACCTTGAGTACTATTCACTTGTGATGTTACGAAGAAAATGCTGACATTAGTATACAAGTGGATTACTTATTTTAAATTATTATCAAGAATAAGACTCGATGCCGTACACACCAAAGTTATATGGAGGAATTACTTCAAGCTTTATTTTTTTCCCAAGTATTTGTAATCCATCCAAAACATACTTGGGTTTTTTTGTTAATGCGAAGACAATATTTCTATATTTCTTGATGTGCTCCATTGAATGACTAGTTATCATATTGTTCCCATAGACAAAATGACTGCAACCTTATAATTTTACCATGAACCAAATTTATGTAATTTAAATAATACTTATCCATGCCTGTACAATTGGTGTGTCCTACACAGGTAGGAAAAAATGTATTTTATTACATTATTATTATTAAATATGTTTACTAATCGTATATGTAATTTATCATATTGATGATGCCTGTAAACTGGCGTCCCTCATGTACAAAATGAGAATATACTACTATTATTATTATTCAAAAAGGGTTGGATGTGTGGGGACCTATCGTGACCATCTGGATACGATTGCTTAGAAAAGAATACAGCCTGTTTACTAGTAAACTTCGGATACCATAAGACTGGACTTTTGATATTAATAGTCGGTGGCTGACACTGTCAAAGGCTTTACTAAGATCTAAGTATACAACTACCATGATCATACCGTAATCTTGTGATATGTAACCGAAAAATTGTAAACAGCATGCAATGGACGGACGTGACTTCATAAAACCATATTGACAAGGAGTGGTAAGTTTCTCTTGAGAGGGGAAGTCAAGAACGGCACCTGCCACAATCTTTTCCAGAGCTCATGAAATAACGGAAGTTAGGTTAATGGGTCTGTGACTCATGACACTTGAAAGAAAGCATGACTTATACCTAGGGGTAATGTGTATGGTTTTCCATGCATCTGGATATGTCCCACTTGATAGGGAGGTTGAGAACACTTTAACGAGAAGGATGGAAATGTCTTCACCACCATATTTTAAAAAAGTTGAGGGGATTATATCAGGACCAGGATTGTTTGAACTTTTAAGAGAGGCGATTACTATTTTAATATTATATGAGGAAAAGATGATGCTTTCTAGAGATTTTTGTGAACGTAAAAGGAATGGAGGTTGTGATGATGCATTGTAATCATAAGTGTAGGACTGAGAGAAGTAGGAGTTTAGAAGTTCGTAAACTATTTTAGGGTCATTGGCAGCCTCACCATTTTCTAAAGTGAATAGTATATCTGTTTTACGAGAGTTTAGCCCTTTGCGGTAAAGCCTACAGACTGCAGTGTATTTAGAGTTATCTTTAAGAGCTGCCTCCTGTTGTCTGAGTAAGGCTTTGTCCTTATTTTCTTTCAATTCGAGATAAATGTTCTGTATATTTACGAGACACGAGAAGTCATTTTTCTGTGGTACTGTCAGTGCAGTCTTTGTTGTTCAGCCATTACTTTTCTAGAAATGAAGCATTTTACGTTTTGCCTTGAGTTCTCTTTACATCTAGGAGTACGTTCATCAAAGCATATCAATACATTTTGGTAAAAGGCTAGTAGGATACTGTTCAGGTTGTTTCTAAAAAAGAAAATTTGCCCATCTAAGCTTTTCCGAAGCACGTGAATGTTTTTCTTAGGGTAGAGCGTCTTACCCGTTTATACGAAATATAAATTATTATTACTGCATAGAGTTTAATATCGAAGGAGCAGATTACGGTGTTATGGAGACTACCCGGAAATGGGTGGCTGATGTCGATGGCGGATAGGGCGCTGTCTTTCAAGAAAACTATGTCCAGTATATTGCAGTTTCCGGTGGGCCTTAGAATACTTTGCGTCCACCCACATAACTCCACTGCATCTAAAAATTTACTGTAGTGGAGAGGAACACTGATTAGTTCCCATGAGACATCAGGCACGTTAAAATCATCTCAATTTCGAGATGTAGCGAAAGGCTGCAGTTGTTTGATTCGGCATCTCACTGTCGTGGTTGGGTGGGTGATAGATGCAACCTAATAACAGAGTTCGCTGTTTAGTGATGTAGATTATCAGCGACAATGTAGCGCATACATCCACGTTGGGGTTGTTGTAGTGTACAGCTTCGTGGTCTGATTTAACATAGATAATGCATCCTCCGCCCCACCCATCTGATCTGTTCTTTCTGGAAAATAAGTAACCCTAAATAATCATTAGCGCTGTAGGTCGGCTTATCATTTTGTTTATAGCTGACCCGGCATTATTAAGAACTATGCTAGGATTAGCTGGGTCATACCTTAAGATTTCAACCATGTCTTGAAGTAGCTGGTGATTAGATTCAATCGTGGTGTTCCCAGACGACAATGAAATATCCATTCCTGTGGAAATGCCAGGAAAGCTAAAGGTTCAGAGGGT